TGGAAAACTCAACAGTGGCCACAGGATTGGAAAAAGTCAGTTTGCATTCCAATTCCAAAGAAAGGCAATGCCAAAGAATGTTCAAACTATCGCACCATTACACTCATTTCACATGTAAGTAAAGTTATGCTTAAAATCCTACAAGCTAGACTCCAGCAGTATGTGGATCAAGAACTTCCAGAAGTACAGGCAGGATTTCAAAGAGGCAGAGGAACTAGCAATCAAATTGCCAACATACACTGGATCATGGAGAAAGCTAGGGAGTTTCAGAAAAACATCTACTTCTGCTTCATTGACTATGCTATGTTGTGTGGATCACAACAAATTATGGCAAGTTCTTAAAGAAATGGGAGTACCAGAACATCTTATTTATCTCTTCAGAAATCTATATGCGGGTCAAGAAGCAACAGTGAGAACTGGACATGGAACCACTGATTGGTTCAAAATTGGGAAAGAAGTCCTGCAAGTCTGTATTCTGTCGCCCTGCCTATTTAACTTATATGCAGAACACATCATGAGAAAGTCAGGGCTAGATGAATCAAAAGTTAGAATTAAGATTGCCGGGAGTAATATCAACAACCTAAGATTTGCAGATGATCCCACTCTAATGGCAGAAAGTGAAGAGGAACTAAAGAGCCTCTTGATGCGGGTGAAGAAGGAGAGTGCAGAAGTTGGCTTGAAACTCAACATTAAGAAAACCAAGATCATGGCATCTGGCCTTCTCAATTCCTGGCAAATAGATGGGGAAGAAATGGAGGTAATGACAGATTTTATCTTCCTGGGCTCCAAAATCACCACAGATGGGGACTGCAGCCAAGAAATTAAAAGATGCTTGCTCCTGGGGAGGAAAGCTATGGCAAATCTAGACAGCATACTAAAAAGCAGAGACATCACCCTGCCAACAAAAGTATGTATAGTCAAGGCCATGTTTTTCCCAGTTGCAATTTATGGCTGTGAAAGTTGGACCATAATAAAGGCTGAGCGCAAAAGAATTGAGGCCTTTGAACTATGGTGCTGGAGAAGACTCCTGCGACTCCTGGACTGCAAGGCAATCAAACCAGTCAGTCCTAGAGGAGATCAACCCTGACTACTCTTTAGAAGGCCAGATCCTGAAGTTGAAACTCAAGTACTTTGGCCACCTAATGAGAAGGAAGGACTCACTGGAGAAGGGCCTAATGCTGGGAAAGATTGAAGCCAATAGAAGAATGGGATGACAGAGAATGAGGTGGCTGGATGGAGTCACTGAAGCAGTAGGCGTGAATTTAAATGGACTCCAGAAGATGGTAGAGGACAAGAAGGCCTGGAGGAATGTTGTCCATGGGGTCGTGATGGGTCGGACATGACTTCGCAACTAACAACAAGAACAAATAGTTCATTGCAACCCGAGTCATATCTACTCGGAAGTAAAACCTATTGTGCTGTTAAGAGTTACTCCCAAGAAACTCAAGATAAGATTGTAACAATGTAGCTTCAGTTTAATTACACTCTCCTGGAATTTAATAGAATTTGTTTCCAGAATGTTGCGTAATGAATTTCATTCAATAACCAGGAAATGAATATTTATGCTATTCAGCAGAAGCATCACCCATTTTAAAGATGCATATGATGTGTTGCTGTGTTATCGTGAGCTGCATCAGTTAATTTGCATTCATCATAATGATTTTGTATTTTAAAGGCCATTGGCAGCATTTCTGAATGGTTTAGTACCTCCCTTGGGTTTCCAACTTTACTTGAATACATTAGTACTTTCAAGTCTGTCACATAGAATATCTGTCAAAGGATGATCAGGAGTTAGCAAAGCCAGAACTGCGCATCTTATTTCCTTCCATACCTTCTTCCTTTTGAGGATAAATCCCACTTTTTCAGTTCTTCTGTCTTAAATGAATACAGAATTTAAATGTATGTACTTTTCCAGTGGGGAAGGTGATACTTTTAAAAGGATTGAGCTTAAGCTCATGTTTCTGGATGACTTTATGCCTTTCTTGTGATCCTTCAGACTCAAACTATATTCACTTACTACATTGTAATACAGGTAGCCCTGTATTACAACTGGGTTCAGAATTACTATTTGCTAAGTTGTTAAATGAGTCACAGCCAATTTTATGACCTTTTTGCCATGGTTGTTAAGCAAATCACTGCAGTGAGTCATACGGTTGTTAAGCAAATCTAGCTTCCCCTATTGACTTTGCTTCAGGCTGCAGTCATCATAAATACATGCCAATTACCAACTAGCTGAATTTTGATCATGTGACTAGAGGGATGCTGCCATGGTTGCAAATTGCAAGGAACAGTTGTCACTTTTTTCAGTGCTGTTGTAACTTTGAACAACCATTAAACAAATAGGTGTAAGCCAAGGACGACCTGTAGTAATTCAGTATGGGTTTATATACGTTATTATTGCCATTTTTTTTTCAGTGGAATAGGAACTCATCCAAATCTGATCATTTTGTAAATGTCTTTAAAGAAATCAAAGTAGATTTCGTGGCAGAGGTGAAAAGTTCTAAAACGTCTCTCCTTGACTTTCAATTTCTTTTTTATCAGTTATTTTATTCTTTTAAGATTTTTTTTAAAAATCAATGTGTAGGTTTGTCTAGTAAATACCTAATTTTGGGTGTGTCAGGGGGAAACAGTTTGATAGCACTGTAGTTTTCAATTGGCTTGGTAAATTTGATTCTTGACCACATCCCAGAATTGTTTCTCTTTTGTTTGCTTCTATACTCTCACCTGTTCTGTAACATTGTTGTCACTAGGGTGAAAGGATGTCCCCAATGTTTACTTCTGAATCTGAATATCATCATCCACAGGAATTTTGTGGAGATATCTTTCTTTCTCAGTTAGCTTATTCTGTGCCCTGAATTTGAAGTGCTATCTTTCAGAGTTTTGCTTTTGTTCTCTCTATTGTTCGTAGGTAGCAAATTATTTTCCACTGGTTATTTCCCCTATATTTATGTCTTCTAAAATCAGAGACCTCATTTTCTCCATTGGCTTCCAACATCAGCCTTTAAACAGGAATCCAGGATGGGCTTTTCAAAATATTATTTGTATATGCAAATAGTAAAACAAAAGAACATCTATTGCATTTTGCCAAGCAGTCGCCATTGCCTAGATTTAGTCAAACTTTAATTAGATCAATTATTAATAATCAAAACAATTAATAAAATAGTAATCAAAATAATAGTTAACCTACACTAGAGTGGATTTCCTTAACAACTCTGTCAGGGTATTTTAAGATTATACTTGCAGCTTTTGTTCATGTACCTAGAGTGAACTATTCAAATTACATAGAGACATTCAGCTATTGCTGTGTTATATTATATGCTGCTATTTTTGCAGCAAACGTCTCTGTTGCATTTTGTTAAATAATCAGTGACCTATTTCAGCAGTTATCTTTGGACATTGCTTATTGTTCATAAATGTCCAGATGCTAAGGCAACACACAATTTCCATTCTTGACCTTTTCTTCCCTTCAGTACTTCCTTCATTATAGAATTCCTTGCTTGAATTAAGCCCAACTGGTGCATTACATGAGAATCAAGGAATTTTCATGTAACTCAAACCAGAATTTGTATTGTTACTATGCATATCCTTGGAAAGAAGTCCTTCACAACTCACAGGAGCTTAGACAAAGCACATTTCTTGGAGCAATTAAAGCAGTTGCATCTTTTTCCAGACTCATTTAACTGCTTCATAAATTCAACTACTTATAAATGCTTCATAAGCAACTGGGGGCAGGTTACAAAACAGTTGTGCAAGCTTCTGGAAAGGCGTAGAAGTTTGGCTGCTGATAGCAAACCCAAGTGAAGGAACAGGCCCTTTGCAAGAATTTCTGTTATGTGGATGAAATCTGTCTTCAAAGAGTTAAAATAGCCATGTCCTTTGAAAGCTGACCTTGTGCTTGGCACCAGCAGAGGAAAATATATGCAGGTAGAGACAGCTGGGAATAGCGGTGTGAAGCTTGCAATCACAGTACTGTTTTAGTACTTGGGGGGGGAGGTGTTTTCTCTGGGACAGGGTGGATTTGATTTAAATCGAGTAAATTTAAATCATAATTTTTAAAGAGCAACTGTCAACTCTGTCATGCAGCGGCTCCTCCTCTGACCCACTGTTGACTCACTGACAGTCCCATTCACTTTAATGGGACGGCTGGTGATACAACAGTAACGCAACAAGGTGAGGGACGTGGAGGACAGCAGGTGAGTGGATGCCCGCTAACAGGCGCTGCCATGATGGATCTGAAATGACAGATGCTCTTTAAATGTAAGATTCTTGCTGGTAGTTAGAATCTTTAATATTATTATTTGCAAACAAAATGAAAGTTTCCTAGTTAGAATAATAAGCTGTCGGGTTAGTAAACAAGCGATATCATAACCGATTTTAGGTTAATAGGTTAATCACACATAGTTGGAGAACTACTCAAATTATTTTATTTAATTAAAGCACTTAGATGCATTTCTCTTCAAACAATCATACAGTTTGTAGCGTAGCAAAACAATGGGATAAAGGAATATTCCTGAACTTTGTTTTATGATTTATCTCATGGTTACTGTGAAACTGTGTGAATGCATCAATGCAGTGCATGTTATCTCAGCTTGCAGAGCTTGGATTCATTGAATGAGTTTACCAAAAATGTAAATATTGCAGAATATGCAGCCTCATGCTACATCACTAAGCTCCATTTCCTGCTGAACAAACTAAATTATTAATGTATCTTAAATAGAAAACTATCTTTAGATATATTTTTACTCTAAAATCATTTTATTAAAATAAATTTGATAAAAATAAAAAAACTGATTTAAATTTAAAAAACCCTATTTTTTATTATTATCTTTTTAAAAAATCATCTATTATTATCTATCCTGCTCTGGGATAATGTGCTTTATAAATTACCTGTTTTGAATAGTTTGCACAATTAAAGATGAGGTCATTCATTTTTTCTGAAATTTTTTCTTATGGACATTTTAAATAATCAGAAGAACTTTCCTCCCTGATTTTTATCTTAGAGCCCATGCAGAAGCATCATCTTCCATGAATCATGATGTGCCCACCACCATGGATGAGAAAATGAGAAACAGAGAAGTAGTGAATGAAGGGAGTGATGAGGAGAAAGCTCTAGAGTCCAATAATGTTTCTCAGGCAGAAGGAAAGAAGAAAAAGCAGCGTTCTGGATTTCGAGACCGTAAGGTATGTCTTTATTAAACTGGGTTTATTTGAATTAGTGGTCAAGAGAAACCTTTTCCCAGGCCATTTATCTTTATTTTTTATATCATGCCTTAGTTATGTTTACAAATAACTCAAGGTGGCAAACACATCCAACACTCCTTCCTCCTCCTATTTTCCCCTGTGAGGTTGGTTGGGCTGAGAGAGAGCGACTGGCCCAAGGTCACCCAGCTGGCTTTCATGGGTAAGGCGGGACTTGAACTCACGGTCTCCTGGTTTCTAGCCTTGTGCTTTAACATCTTGCTTTATAGTCTGGTGCTTTAACCTCTAATAATCCCAGAAATATTTTTGAGAATGACAAGGATAGAAATGAATGGTTTAAACAAGGATGCAAATCAGATGAATTATTTTTCATACATGTAGATGGGATTTGGATTTTTTTTTTCTGAGTTTGAATGAGAGAATTGTGGAATTCTAGTTATGATAGATGTCATCTGGGCCATGAAGTCTAAATCTTTGCTCAGTGCAGGAAATAAAATAATTTTTGCATAAATGGGTGTCTAATGAAAGGAAGTCCACCATCTGTTTGGATAATTGATTCCATTATGAAATGTATTGTATTATTAAGGGTTCCCCACTCCCCCAATATTTAGTTGAATTATTTATTTTAGATTATTCTTTCTTCTCCATTCTGGAATCATAAAAACCTTTACTTTCATTATGTGCTATCCTTTTTGAAAATTAAGCTGGAATATGAAAGCCAGCTCAGAGCTAAATATGCCATTGTATATCTTTTCATAGGACTTAATTCTAGTTCCTTAATCACCCTTGTTGCCCTTCTCTGAACATTTTCCAATTTGTCAGAATTGTTAAAACATGGTGTCTAAAATTGGACATAGTATTTATAGTGAGATCTGAGCAGTATTATGATTTCCTGTGATCTAGAAATTATATTTCTTTTAATGCAGGCAAAAATTGCTTTTAATTTTTTTGTAGCCACCTCACATTGCTATGACATATTTAGATTGCAGTTGGCTGCTTACTATATTATGGTTTTTGACAAGAACTATTATTAAACTAGGAGTTTCTATCCTCTGACTCTACACTTAACTATCATTGTCTTTATAGTACATTCCAGAAGCTTGTCAGTTATCAGGATTGAACTAACTAGTTCCTGGTTTTGTCCTTTTTGAAAATTGGGAGAATTTAATTCTCCAATCATTTGGTCCTTCAGTAGTTATTCAAGATTTTGTAAAGGTAATATACAAATGTTCAACAACAACAACAACTTTATTGCCACTTTGAATGTACACCAATCGGCATACATCAAAATGAAATTTCGTTGCATACAGCTCTCACAGGGCCACCACCTCCAATGTACACTCCTTGTTCGTGGCCAGCTCAAGTTTCAGATCGTCCATTTTATCTCTAGGGAGCGAACGATAGCAAACAGGACAGATGGAAACGGAGCTCCATGTGGATTAACTCTCAAATTAGCTTGTATTCCTGCAGGACAAGCTCATCTCCTTTCCTTTTTCTGATCCTATCTCTTCCACTTTTTTCTTAAAGAGGACTCACTTCTTTTTGCCCCTGGAGCACTCTGCTGCCACCACCAACTCCTCCAAAAGCTTCTCTCCCTTCCTATGGGCCTGCCAACAACCTCATCCAGTTCCTTCACTCCATAAGCCCCGGGACCTCTCCTCCTCTGCCTCCTTTGGAAACAGTCCTGATTTGCAATAGAATCCGTTCCTGAGCCAGCAGTCAGATCTTCTGCTGGTAGAACAATTTCAAACAACCCCAACGACTTTTAACGGTCTCACCAACAGTTCTGAAACAGCTAGAAACGTGCCATGCCAACAAAGAATATCGGTTGTATGTTACCTTAGTTCCACCACGTTGCTTAAACACATTAAAACAGTGGTTCTCGACCTGTGGGTCGGGACCCCATTTGGGGTCAAACAACCATTTCATGGGGGTCGCCAAACAATGCAGTCCGCCATTTTTCCCCCTTTTCCTTAGCTGTGCTACTCCCTTTTATTCTATTGGCTTTTGAAAGCCAATAGAATAGACTCTCTTGAATAGAGTCTAATTCTATTGGCTTTCAAAAGCCAATAGGAATTGTCCAGGCTGTCTCTGCCCTGCTGAGCCCACCAAAAGTCCCATTCTGCAAACGGTGCTGCACAAGTTGAGTAGTCCTCGACTTACGACCGGTTGGGGGTCACGGCATTAAAAAGGTTGAGAACCACTGCATTAAAACCTTCCCAATCATGTGGCCTATATCCCTTACATCCCTCCCAAAACTTGTCACCTAAATGTTCAGGCCATCATGCAGTGTTTTAATACTATAAGACATAGGCTCTGGGAATTTCAATTCATTCAGGGTAAATAGGCACTCGTAATCATTTTTTGTATCACTCTCAAATTTCAATCCTGTCCCTTATTTGGGCTTGAGGGTGAAGGAAGCATATGGGAGCATATATAGTTTGTTTCATCAGCCAGTTGAGAGCCATGCTCTTGTAGAAAATGTAAGAGACTTTTACGAATTCCAGAGGATTTAGCAGAGAGATTTATTTGCGCAAGGTTCAGAAGCAGTGAAGACAAGCAATTCTGAATGCTGAGGGAGGGTTCAAACTACAGTTTTATATATTTTTTTCTCAGGAACAAAGGGGCACACATAGAAATCTACATTGTAATACATCAGATTCATTTCTCACATATTAGAATCATTTCTCACAGGCATACAATGGACAGTTATGCTACATACATTGTTTCCAAGTGCAATGTGCATTTGGTTAGTCACAGATTGCTAACACAGCTTTATTCCAGTAATAATGCAGACACATTGTTTTAATGATTTTTCATTATTATTATTATTATTCCACATTATTCTACATTATTCTACTTTATTCCCCTCTTTGGAAGTTTTCTTGCTTAAACTTCCATCATTCTACCTCTGATTCAGGATCTTTAGTGGGCACCATTTTGTCTTCCCATAAAGCTAACATTGTTTCATGTTTTGCAGTTATAATTTTGACTTCTACCTCTGATATTGGGTTGTAGCCGTTGGCATCTATTTCTATCCCAAACGTCCAGTTTTTTCTTTCCCATCTATTTTGTTTCAGGAACCAACTGCCATTCTTGACTGTGAGAGTCACCAAATTACAGTTGTCCCTTCCACAGGAGTCTGCTTTTGTATTATTCTTTTCAAACAAGATGTGTTCTATCTCCTTCGGGTCTTGGGTACGCCACTTAATACATGATCACCACTTACATTTGACTGTGGAGACTGCACATCCATCCGGTGGGCACAAGTACTTACGGTTTGGGATATAGCTGTGGATATGACTGATCCCTCCGCAACCATATATTGCAGTCCAATAATTAGCTGCTTTACAAAATCAAAGGTGACGCTAAAACTGGAGTGTGGGTTGGATTTCCATTGGGAGATCCCTATTAGTGCCTTGTCCCTAGAACTACTTCTTGTTCTATGTGTTCGGATCTGCAAGGCCCAGCTGTCAGGATCAGACTTCGGATTATAACACTGCTCTTGGACCCCTTTTCTACAAACTTTATATGTAGTTCTATTGTATGTACAGGAGCTAGGGGAACTATCTTGGCACCCTTCTGGTTTCATTGTATAATAAATCAAAGTCTTAGTTATCTGGTTTCCTTGTTTTGTAATCTTGATGCAGTTTCGACAACCCTGGTTCCCCTGTGTTTTTGTTCTTTCTTTGTGTGTGTATGTTCCCCATATTAAATAACTAACAGATATTACGAGCTGTAGAATCCTCATATCTTCCACCGTGCGTAGAGAGACAGCTTCCGGGGTGTCTCAGCGGGGTTCGTTGTTCACACCATGTGTTGAGAACCCGTTGCCGGTAGGGTTCGACAGGGTGTATTTCTTGTAAATTTCAACACCAAAGGTTTGTCAGTTTTCTCCACCTTGTAAGTTACTGGATCGGCAGGTGCAGCTTCTTTCAATCTACTCCAGTGGATCCAGGACTTTCCCTCCAAGGTTTTCACTGCCAAAGGAGAACACATAACAACAGTATACGGTCCTTTCCATCTTGGGCTCAAGGGGTCTGATTTCCAGTGTTTCACCCATACTCTATCTCCTGGTTTGAACCCATATGTTGCCGTGACCACTGGAGGGGGTTGTTGTTCCATCATATAATGGTGCAAATTTGAAACAGCTAAATTATGAAGCTGTAACTGATGTAACAATTTCTGTTGGTCTATTCCCCCTGCTCTGGCCCATATAGTTCTATGGCCCATATAGCTCTATGGCCCAGCTCTATGTTGGAAGGTCTGGCAATTATTGGGTTAAATGCTAGGTATGTGGATGGGTCAGTGGGAGGAGTTCCAAAGGTCTTTGGGAGACTTCCTGGACACAAGCCACATGGGAATCTCTTTGTCTGTAAGAAGCATGGGCCATGGAAGGTCTCCCTATAAACATAAAGATGGTGTGAAGAGCAATAACACTTTCTTACCTAAAGGGATGATCTAAAAGATGAACAAAGATGTATTTCCAGCAGCACTAATCACAACGTGAACGCAAGTAATCTTTCTCATTAAAATATATTTTGTTTATTATAAGATCGTTTCTTTTGAGTTAACTATCTGACAGGATTTAAAAGAGATCACTTTAAGTTTGTGTCAGAATAGTAAGAAAGTGTTTTCATAATTTGTGCCATCTTTTGAAAGCAAATAGTAAATTGCCAAAGATTAATTCTCCTCTCAAAGCTGCAACAGTTTGAAGAAAGAGAATCAAATTGGTTAGCCCTTTCTCTACATTAACCTTCAAGGAAGTAAAGATTCTCTTGATGCCTTTAAAAGCCTACAAAGCAAAGCCAGCATGTCTGTGTAAAAAACAGCTTTCAAGGAGTGATTCAGAGGTTTGTTATGCTAATTCGCTTGCTAGCTAACCCTCAAAGTAAAAGTGCCTTGGACCTGTTCTCAAATTAATGTTTATAGCGGGGAGAAAGAAAAACAAAAAATCTACACTTTTGTTCCGTGCATGAAAA